TGTGGGGGCGATATGCTGACTATGTAAACCGCTTAGAGAGGGCTGAAAGCCCTATGAAGCGGTATATAAGTCTAACTGCTATTGCTATTGCTATGTCATTAGCCCAAACCATCATAGCTTGTTTCATAAACCCTAGGTAAAACCTTGGCTTACATTCTATACACATGCAGTTAGGAATAAGAAGCAGCTCAATGAAGGCTAGGAAAACTGTACCAGGGAGGGAAGGCTAGAGTATTTGGCATATTTTGAATTCAGCATGTGCCATCAAGTCATTGTTGATTTGAGCAACCACATAGTTATTCTCCGGGATGATATTTGGCACATTAGGGAACAAGAAAATATAGAACACAAAATTGTCTTAACTTTGAGAGATTATTACTGTAATACTATTATTTTTTTAAAGAGACTGTTACTTAAATCTAAGTTGATTGACTATAGAAAATCGATTAACCATAGAAAACCAATTTATTACTTCATGTAGAACAAATCATATTGATTATAAATCATTGAAAATTACAGATCAAAAGGAAAATTGTGTTTAAAGTACTTTTTTTCTTAGTAGAAAAAAAGAATTCTATATCCTTCTCAATTATCAACTGATTTATCCAAGAGATCCATTTTTAGGCAGCATTTACAAATCCCATCAATTGAAATGCAATTTGTCAAGCAAAGCTCTGTTTAGGTTAGCCTTTCTTTCATTGGGCCCTCAACAGCCATGTTGGCTGGGAATATATTGAATATATAGAGAGCTTGGGGAATCCTGATTAGATCATTCTTCCAGCAATACTAGATGTCTGTTTCTTACCTTTAGCTGTATCGTAGATGCCAAAATAAGCAGCTCGGTAGATGATGATACCCTGGACTGACACATTGAATCCCAAGTAGAGACCTCTGAGGCCATCAGATTTGTAGATCTTAGCAATGCAATTGCCTAGCCCAGTGAACTGCCTCTCTTTCAGCCCTTTGCCCACATCAGCTGCTAGCCTAGTCCTGGCAAAATCTAGAGGATACACAAAGCAGAGAGATGTTGCTCCCGCTGCACCTCCAGAGGCCAGGTTGCCTGCAAAGTAGCGCCAGAACTGCTTGTGTTTGTCAACTCCCCCAAGGAAAATCTGCTTGTACTTGTCCTTGAATGCAAAGTTGAGGGCCTGGGTGGGGAAGTACCGGATGACATTGGCCAAGTTGCCTCTCCAAAAGGAAATGATGCCTTGCTCCTTGGGAATCCTTACTACACAGTCCATGATTCCCTTATACTGTTGTTCAGCTGTGATTTGTTGGCTAGCATGCTGGACCTGTTGAATGAATGAAACAAAAAAGGGAGGGAAGAAAGACAAAAGGAAGTAAAGGGGAATGGATAATTGTTGCTTGGGTTACCTGCTCAAATTGAACACATAGTTATTATATCTATGGAAATTCTCAGTCATCCAGGTCATAGTTGTTCCAAACATGCTTTTTTCAAGAGGCAACTGAACTTTCTGGTTTTTCTTTGAAGACATTTCATTTCTCATCCAAGAAGCTTCTTCCACTCATCCAAGAAGCTTCTTTAGAGCTGAAGAAGCTTCTTCAGAGCTGAAGAAGCTTCTTGGATGAGAAGCGAAACATCTTCAAAGAAAAACCAGAAAGTCCAGTTCCTCTTAAAAAAAGCACCTTTGAGACAACACATAGTATGTTTCACTGCAAAATATGGAATTTTGTTCCATATCAAAACCAGTTATCAATTTAAAATTAACAGCAATGGCATCAATACATTTGACTCTATTAAATGCATAGGTTTACTTTATTTGGACATAAGATCTGGGGGGGGGGGGAAATCTAAGAAATATATTTGTTCCTTTAGCCAGTTCTTATTTGCTCATGGGGAGCCTACTAGGTCTCTGTACGTACATATCTTAAAAGGTGATTAGACAATGAAGTTTTATAAAGCTATTCAAAAGAAGCAATTGCAAAACATGCACCAAAAGGAAAGCATCATTTTTGAAATATTAAAGCAGCTGTGTCCCTTAGAAACCTTGCATGGATTCTTTCAAGGTTGTCCTTAGCTGCAGCCATAGTTGCTGCAGCTTCACCTTCACCCTCACAGTTTTTTCACTTTCCCAGAGACTGCCAATACAACTTTCTCTCTGTATGAAAATGCAATATGGGCAATCGGGGATTGCCTTCAAAGCAGCAATTTCAAAAAGCACACCTGTTTTAATATTTCAAGGAAGTACACTTTGGTCATGCCAATACACTTTGTGAAGCATATCTTTTTGGGAATTCAGTCCTTTTAGTCAATCTTCATAAGTTACCAAACTATTGAGCCAAGCAGCAAACTTTTATGCAACAGATTAATTTAAATGGAACTAGGTTAGAAAATATATGGGCATTGCATAATTCCATTTGTACTGTCCATTATTACTTTTCATTGGGTTGAATGGCACACCATGTGCACCATAGAAGAGAATAATCAAGACCTGAAAGAGATTCCTCAAGCCTTGGGTAGTTTCTATATACTATGCCAAGAACAAGGCTGCACTGATCTTCTGTCATCAGAACTGCACAACTGCAGTTTCCATATTTAGTCACTTCATCTGACAAATTCCTACTCCACTCCTATTTACAACCTCACACTTGGCTCCATGCAAGAAGACTTTTTTTTTTTGCTAGAAATGCAGAGCACTGCTTTGAGGGACAGCAGACTTGCCCTGTCATTCCAAGATTTCTTGGAAGAACCTTATGAGAAACTTATAAGGAAGAGTCCCCAAGTAATTTTCTGCGTGTTTCCATCAAGGAGGCATATCCTTGCTATCTACTTTTTTTGGAAAAGCCAGCCAAACCAAACAGCTTTTCCAATGGCAGGTGCCAGATTAATATCTGATCAGTTTTTTCCCCAAGCTCTATGGATGGAGAACATGAGCACATCTCCAAATTCAGCCACTCTGCTCACCTGTAGCAGCAACTTGACTCTTTCAATAGGCGCTACAGCCGTCTTGGAAATGGCAGCAGCGATACCCCCCGCCAAAAAGTCCTTAAGGAAACTGAGAGCCTGGTCACCCATACTAAGGCGAGAGACACTCCAAATCCCCTTCCCTTCCAAAAAAAAAGAGGGAACTAAAAGTCCCTACAGAGTCGTCGGTAGGTACCTCCCCACCCAGCTGGACACCCCCGTCGAGTCACACAGCTCCGGACAGAGAGCCCTTTCCTTTTTCCAACTATTTATAGCTTCTGCGGGTCTCGCGATAAGAGGAGGACCCGCGGGGGGCTGATCCTCCAGGACATTGGCTAGGACCCCCATCCTTGGAGGGCACTGTGGGGAAGGCGCCATGTTGCTCTCTTCCGATGGGGCAACCTCTGAGCGAGGGTCGCCGGCAAGGGCACATTCATGTTATCTGCTCCCCTTCAGGCGTTAGGACACGGCATGTGCTCGCTGTATTAATAGCACAGGGGAGACGTAGGGCAGGGGGAGGGGGAGCGGTCCTTCGGGACGAGGCGTTAACCCTTTGGACAGTCCTCGCCGGCAGCGCCAAGCGAAGTGGAACGAGATGCGCGCGAGGAAGGGGCGATCCCCATAGAGTGGACCCTCGAAAGGCGATGCCCCCTTTCAAACTTTAGATGAGCGCTTCCCTCTCCTGCCTCAGAAACACTGTCACGTATGGTAGTTATAGAATTGGTTATGGTCTCCACGTGGATTTACGGATGAGCCCAGTGGAGAAATACCATCAATGCTTTTTTACACGTGGCTAGGGAAAGGAGAGATCGCTTTAATTATTTAAAATATTGATAAGCTGTCTTAAGGGTAATCCTCCCCCAAAAATTACTTTGAACAATTACTTTACATAGTTATATATGATACTGGCCATTAAAATATTTGTGTGAGAGTTTGATTTTCAGCACCCACTTCATACTGATTTCGTTATACTGCAAAGCTTAGAGAAGGTTGTAAAGCACTGTAAAGTGATATATAAGTCTAAGTGCTATTGCTCTTTCATTACATTTTATGTATTTATTTTCTATTTTAGTAACTTGGTAACAATCCAGAAAAATTGGATTATTCATTGTCTATAATAATAGCAATACTAAATATAAATAGGTGAAAACACAATTATCTGTGGACAGTAAATGAACTAGTGTTGAATTGGCAACTTGTAATATTTATGTAACATATTTGTACACAAGAGTGGAAGCTTGAGAATAGGCTGGGCACACCTATGTTTGGTATGATGTAAAAACAATTATTTAGCAAGAATTACCATGTCATAGTTTAGCACTTCTTTAAGAGTCGTATGTTAAGAAACAACTGATATAACTTGTTTGAGCACAGAACAATTTTCTGAATTATAGAGAATTTTATATAGGATAGTCAGATGCAAAGAAACACTTGTAGTTTACCAAGTTTAATTTTTCTTTTTGAAACATTTTGCCTTTTACATAAAGCTACTTTATCTTGGGGAAACTTTTAGTTTCAGGTGCATATGGTGTTTGTTCTTTATATATGTCAATACGTCAGATCAAACTAGTTTATCATCTATATTAGTTGGTAAAAGCCTACCAATGGTTTTCCTAGCTCTGCTATTAAGACCTTTTATGTGACAATATTGGACTAAACTGACCCCGTTTCCTGGGGAAATGATATGCTATTAAACTATGAAAGGAGCCCTTTCACGTGCAAATATGTTTTGTCTCAATATTTTAATTGGCATGCCTAGGTGTTCTCAAATGAACACTTATATTTAAGATGCTGGTAGAATTAAATTCTGTAAAACAATGACGTTCTGTGCAAAATAGAATGCTACTGCTTTAAAATTCAGCTGAACTGCTTTCTCTCAATTGCCAGCTATTTTTTTCTTCCAGTGTCAAGAGAGGGAGGAGTTCACTCTTTCCTGGTAAGGTCTTCTAAGGACAGCGATGGCACATGATTAGAACACAAATGTCAGTTAGGTGGGAAGAAAACTGGAGCAGGACTCTTGATAGCGCATGACTAGGAAACAAAGTTCTAACCCAAAATGTAAAATGCCAGCACAGGAGGTACTTGTGCATAGTGTAACATTCTTACTAGGGGACATCATGAATTTGTGGTTATAGAAAGCATGCTTGTACCCTAGTTTTCCTTGTTTTCTGGATGGCTTTTTCACACAAATGATGAATAATTAAAAGTATGCCTTATAGAATTTAACAGTAATTGATTTCTAAAAAGTTTCATGATCTATGTGGCTACCTAATTTGCAAAATGTAAGTGGAGTGAACAGTGTCCCAACAGTAATCATAGAATTTCAATAGAACAGAAAATAAACAATTGGGGTGCACCAACATAAGACTTCAGATTTCAGAATGAGCTTCTCTGGTCCCAATGTCACTTCCTGAAGACGAACAGAATTGGAACAAGTCAAATCTCAGTAGGGAGTTCATTCTGCCGAGCAGATGCCCTCACAGAAATTGTATGTTTCCTAGGTGTCATCAGATAGCATTGCTTTAAGGAAGGGACCTGGAACATGCCCAGTTGACTGGAGTGTGTGGGGTGGTAGAAACCACCAGAGATAGGGGCTCCTGCACATAACCGGGTACAACACTGTAGAGAATTTTATAGATGATAACTTGAACTGCATCTGGAAGATGACTGGAAGCCAGTACACCTCAGGAAGTAAAAGTATTATACATTATAAAAGTATTATATTTATGTTACTTGATACTTTGCTGCATTCTGTTCTTCTTTGCTATAAATGTGTGCATTTGTGTTTTGTCTTAAACCTAACCATAAAATAACTTTAAATTTTAATATTAGATAAATTTTAACTGCAGTTGGAATCACTGAAATCTATAAGAGCAGCTTCTCACAGCATGGAGGTTAACATTATTTGCCTGCTAATATTCTGCATATTAACATACTATTAGAGTTATTATTGATTATAGGAAAAATCAGGAAACTAATCAGTAAACGTACAAAGGAAGAAATATATTCGTCTAACTGGTGCAGTTCTTGTGTTAACACAAAACCCCATGTTTTAACAACATGGAAAGTTCTTCAAGTTGTGAGTTGAGTTATGTACTGACTATGCAACCAAATAGGAAACAGGCACAAACAAGCAGAGACAGCCAAGGGATGAGGTAAGGAGGCAGGTACAAATTATATCATAAACCTTGCCATGGCTTACTTAAGTGAATTATGACATGATGGTGCTATTTCATCACCATCATACTGATGAAGAGTGTGACTTGCAACAAAGTTCATGTTTTTTCAGTATTGCTTGCTTTTAAATTTTGAAAATACACAAATATATTTGCAAACAAATTATTGAAATTTTTTGTATGGTGTTGGGATAAATTGCTTTTTGTATTTTAATTTGGTTTGGAAAATGCTCGCTTTCCCTCGAGGCAACAAAATAACCCATTTCTTTATGTAGCCCCTAGTTTTAGATACAAACTAGTTAAATGTAAGTCCCAAAACTAGGCCAGGTTGTTTTGTTCCTTGAAACTTCTTTCCTGTTGTTAAAATGGAATATTGCTCTTGATGAAGCATCATTCTAAGTTTAGACAATTATCTGAAAGACACTAGTTTGTCAATGAATTATGTGGGAAAGCCTGTTGGCTCAACTTTCACAGATCTTCCTCTTGTATTCCTGCCCATGACACTCAACCAGATCACCCAGTCCCAGATCTGGTTCTACACAACACTGATTTTATAGATTATGACTTGCAAATCATAATGGTTAGCTCTACACACAACACTTGAAACCTTATATAAAGAAATTGCATTATGACTTTACAAATAACCATTCATAGATGGAGCATTCCGGAGAACGGAATGAAATGGAACGGAATGCTGTGCCATGCCATGTCGTGCCGTACTATGCTTTATTTGGCCAAGTGTGATTAGACACACAAGGAATAGATTGTCACTCAAAGTAGAGAAAGTCACTCTTGGTGTTTCCAGACCAGAAACATTTTTACCCAACTCATAAACTACCATAATACTACAAAGGGGGAGAGGAAAGCCATCTGCATCCATACCAAATTGTGATTAAATAAGCGGTCAGTATTTACCATCAGTCTAAGCTGAATTTTTATCCTCATGTTATAAAGCCCTTTCCTTTCTTTTGCATGTAGTTAGTTTAAATCAAAAACTCATTTCACACTAGCCATTCCAGCCTTGCTTTCTTCTGAATGTTGAATCATGGGTAGATACAGTAACTGGCACTCTCACCAAAATACCTTTAACCCAACTATTCAAGGTCCAAATATACTCATATGCTAGTAGTATATATTGCCTTTGGATACCAAGATTCAGTAATGAAGATTGGGAAGTATAAAATAAGATTGGGAGGCTTGTTAATTCTGACGACATTCACTGAACTTCCTCTGGACTGACCTGTTGTTTTCATTCAAACTATGACCTATTTCAGTATTATTATTTTTTGAAGAGGACTGACATCTCACTTGAGAAAATAGTAAACTATAACTCAACATCTAACATCTGGCTATCTGAAAAGTATACCATGGTTTTAACTAGAATCTGTTTCTGTGACCTAGAGTAACCTTGTAACATACACCGTAATACTAAACCTATAATAAGTCTCCAGCAAGACTCATTTCAATCTAAGCCAACTATTTTCACCTCTATGGTCTATCCCTGCTAAGGACATTTATAATTTTAAAAAAATAGTTACCAAAGTTCTTTTCTAAAAAAAACACAAACTCTGTTCTTGATTATTTTTGAATCTTCCTCTGAAAGATGAATGCTTTCATATGTTGTTATCATTGAAGTGTTTTAGTGAGAACAAGACCTATATATGCTTGTGTGTGTACTAGAAATTCCACCCTCACCCCCCCCCCCCGTCCTTAAGACCGCAGACATGTTTGTTTCCCTGCCCACAGACTTTCACAGTTGGAAATATCTATTCTATGCTTACATAATTGGTAGTTCTCTCTGGCCTGAGATATGTTGATGCCTCTCTTGTAAGCATCAGTTCATACAATACATACGATATCAGGCATGACTGGTTTACCATGCCTCTTTAGGAGGGGAGGTTTTATGAAAAGGCTATACATTAATATTGTATATCAAGTTTTGTAACATATTCCCAAATGTCCTGGATATTCTGCAAAAACAGACATTGTTTGATGAATATTATACAAAATTTATCCAATCAGCTTCAATAACATTGAAATTAATTGCTTAAGAAAGC